TATTCGTCTACGTCGTGTTCATCTTCCTCGCAGCAAAATCATTATCGCTGCTGTTTCCTTTCCCGTCCGTTTATCTTTTAACTGACGCCAAAGTTAAACCCGTCGTTGCGTCTGGATCGCATTTGATTTTTAGGAATCGTAACTTCTCACATAGTCGCTATAGTTGCTGCATGCACGTTAACGCGCGATCATCTCGGTTTATTCGAATGGATGCGGCTTTTGGAAGATAAGGCACTTTGTGCCGCGGGAATAAAATCCGCGATTCTCTCCTTCTTCTTGAGAATCTATGTATATTACAAACAATTGTCATTGACTGACAGATTGACTGATTCATCAACGCCAAAACCCTAAACCTAGAAACATGGAATTCGGGAAGTATATTCCTTCCATATTGTAAGCACCCAGTAAAAAGGAATTTTTAGAAATTTGATCTCTAACGGCGTGAAAAGGGGTGAAAATGTGTTTTCACGGATTCCTCGACGCGCAATGCCGGATAGCTTTAAGCTAGTTTTAAATAAAATAAAATTACTAAACAAGACTTTTGATTTGCGTAAGAATTAAAAATTTAAGATTGTGAATATGAAATATTCAAAAATGTTTAAAAATTAAGAAAACTAATATCTGCGGCTTATGAATATCGTTCCCCTAAGTTTTACAAAAATAACCTTAGCTTTACTCATATTAACGTAATAAAGTTTGAGGCTCCGGCGACGAGGCGAAGAAAGAGGGGGTGTAGCTAACTTCTTTATTATAATCGGAAATTACTCGGCGTGACGAAAAGATCACTTGTGCCCGATAGCGGAGGACTCGAGAGAGAGAGAGAGAAAGCGAGAGAGAAAATATTGGAGAGACAGTTAGAATATTGGAGGGTGCGAAGGCAGCGGCAATTATCGAGCGCGTCATTGTAATTGCATCGACGCCATTGACGGTCGGGAGTCGAGATTAGATTCGGTGTTCAGGAAACGGCACCCTCATTCCATCTATCTCCCTCTCTATCTTCCATAGTCTAGATTACGTTAATTGGTAGGTCACTGGCGAATATTAAGTATCATTCGACTACAGAACCGTGCGGTGTTCATCCGTTAACGTCGCGCGAGCTATCGCATCCACATACCATTCAATAAGCTCCGGCCGATTTCCTGTACGAATTTCTATGCAAATGGCGCACAAAGCACGCCAATCGCTCGCAAAAACCGCCGAGAAGTTTGACCCTTTTAAACCTGCATTCTTTTGGATATAAAACGCGCGCGCGTTTGTGCACACACATATGTGCGCTCATTTTCGATCGTATCTATTTAAAAGAATTTGTACAAAAAGACTTTCGAGCGTTTTCGAACGTTTTCCACATTTTTGCACTTTTTTAAGTATCCTTAAACATACTTTCTTAAATATTTGCAGAGAAATGTTCCAAAAGAACTTTTCATATAAAATATTATTACACCGTGTTTTTATTATAAAAAATTGTATGACCCCTGATTTTGTTGCATATATGTATTACAGCATATATTCATGAAAAATGCATACAGTATGAAGATTGAGCGATGCAATCCTTTATGTAATGATATTTTAATATAATTTTTAAATTACGCATATATCGCATATATCTGTATAGGTACCTTAGAGGTAAAGAAAATCGCATATCTATTTTTGAACATTTCGAGAAAACAAGGTTTAAAGTTTTAAATAGTGAAATAATACATTTTTTTTAGATATAAAATAAAAGTAGCGCCTTGATTTATGAAGTTTTTAATCAAGTAATTTAACTGACATGTTTAATAGTAGAACTGCTAATAACACGATGTACCTGATTTAAAAATTAGGCACTATAAAGATTTTCAAACTTTTAAGAAAAACAAAACAGTACGTGTTGCTAATACTTTGAAAATGATTAGAAACAAATAATACTGTGTTGAATAGTTAAAACAGATAGTAAAGTTTCTCATATGACATTTTTCTTTGGAAGTATTATATAGCATCACTGTTCTATTTTTCTTAAAAAAAGTAATGCTTCCAAACATTTGAGCGACAGTGTATATCACATAATATTTTTTAAGACCACTTTGAGACAGAATTTGATAATTTTATGTATTATTCTCTCGTTCTACCTTTCTTTCTCTTTCTTTGATATCTTAATTTGTCATATATACATAAACATTTTTCGTTACGGTCGCACCTAAAATTCAAGTTTATCGCGCGAATTGTGGATCGCGCAAAGTGGATTTTAATCGTACTGCCATTTTCCGTTTCACTTGCATTTAATTCGCGCCCACTCGCGGCGCGATCCGCGTTTATTGTTTCATCTATGTATCTAATCGGCGTCCCTCGACACGGGTTACATTTCGCCCGAACAATCGATAGCGTAAATTTTGTACACGGCGGTGTATATACGTATACATGTGTAACGCTGTACACGGGGGAAATGGAGTGAATCGTTGCCCGTGCGCCCGCACGCGTGTTACACGCGTCGCGAGGAAGAGCTTATTCGTAATTTCACCAGTCCTATCAATCTGGGGTGTGTTTTGCTTGTCGCGGCCGCGCGGAATTAACGAGCGATTTGCCCGCGTTGATAAAACACGTCCGATAGGGAAGGGACGAGGAAATAAAAAAACGCATCGCGCCAACACGTGGCCAACGATAAAGCCGAATTTTAATCGCCCGCGTTTGTCATCAACAGCTATAGTTTATTGCTCCATAATGGCAATTTGATATCGCCAAGTATCTTCTGCCACGGCGATACGTTTTCTCCTCGCGATGCGGGTGTGATTTATGCACCCAACATATAAATTTCCTGTCTCTCTCTTTTACTTTCTTTAAATATTATAACATAAATACAGAGATATACGGCGCTGTCACTTGTCACTGTGCACATCACCGCACAATATTGTCTATTTGTACGTCCAAATGTCAAACGTATGATCGAATCCGTATACATATTTACGGGAGACTGATTTTTTTCTTCCTCTCTCTTTTGTAATCATTTCTTATTGGTGAAATTAAAGTGCATCGCACTTTAATGCATAACGCTCATTTTAATGGCTGAATTTATGCGGACTTAAAACGCTAATCAATCACATTGTTTGACTTTCGCATCGCGCATTTGCTTGTCGCTAAATCGAATATACGTCAATTCACGTGAAATCGAATGTTGATCGGAATGCAGTGTAATTATTATCGGCAGTCCTGTTTAACCTCGATCAGAAGAATTGATGCAGTTACATCTTGTTCAAGCGAAAAAAAGTAAGATAGAAACAATAGAAATGTACGATTGCCAAATAATACGTTCGTGTTATGTGATATCGGGAAATTTAATTTCCCGGGAGTGGAATTTCGGAAATTCCGTGGCGCAAAATCAACCTCTCATGCGCGCAGAGAGGCATTTTAAAAGCACCACCTCTCTCCCCGCACCATATTTCTCTATTGTCAATCACGCAAAGTAAAATAATGCTCGTACAATGAGAATCAATAGCCCTCCGACGAATTGCAAACGCGTTCTATTTGATCGCTCTGATACTCATCGAAAGCGCACGGTTTGCCGGGGGGGGGGGAGGGAAATGCACCCATTCGAAGCTGGCAAATAGTTTTGATAGGCTAATTAAGATCGCGACGGCTGATGATACTTCAGGATAATCACAATATGGGAGAAATTGGAGAGAGCGAAATTTTTTCTCGATGAACTTTGACTCGATCGAAGCAATATTTGATAAGTACCCATACTGAGAGAAACAAAATAGTTGCAGTCATCACAAATTTATTATAATTTTTAGTTATTTTCGGCTAACTACATTTTTATAGTTATTTTAACAATGCGAATTATAGCTGACTCAATACTACATTATTGTTGTCATAGCTTTAACATGCATTATTCACCTAACCGTAACCGTTTTATACACTACAACCTGTGATTTATGTAGTAAGTCGTACTATAAATATAATAAAAATGACTACAATTGAAATCTATACATATAAGATTATTTAATATTACAGCAATGATAACTGTAAAAATAAAAACTTCGACTTGAATTATTTTACTATGCATAATTATAGTCGCAAATACCAAATACTTTTCTCAGTGTAAAAAACAAAAGAATGACGAGGAGCATGTTTTATATATACATTTTAAGATTTTTATACATGTATAGGTATTTGTTTTATATATTTAAAGTTTTATATTTTTAAAAGTTTTTTTTTTAATAGCGACGCGCGCGTAAAGAGACGGCGATGCATCTGCCTAATTACGAGTATTCCGTCGCGTGACATAGCTGCAATTATGCGAGTACATGCGATGAATTTACCTTCTTTTTGTAGAGGCTACGCTTTTTGCAGACACACGTCTCGTTACAAATTGTCCGATATCGACCTCGCCCGTCCCGGAATTTCTTTTCACGGGGCGGGATAGGATCGGTGGGATCCTGAAAGACGACGGGATGAATTCGTCGCTCGCGGATGTAAAGAGCGAGAACGGAATCAGCTCTTTTTGCCTCGATCCTTTCGCATTAGCGTACTTGCGTGCTCGCCTTCTCTGAAACGGTCTCGAACACGGTCGATGTGTTCGCGTTGATAGGCAATGTCGACCGTATCGCATTTTCGGGCCATATACTAGCCCGAAAAAACTTCTGGAAAAACGAAAACTCCTCACTCCTTCTTCGTGATAATTTAATGTTCGTAACAAATTTTCGTTATATACATCAAATATATGTTATATTTTTATATAATATATATAACAATGCATTATACAGATGCTTAATTTAGATTTTTAATTACTCAATTAGTCATTATGATCTTCTTCAATCAATTTTTGGGCCAATTTTTATTTTACGTGTCACGTTTAAAGAAAAAAGGTTCCAATAAATTTATTTCGAATTTAAATTAGTCACGTTTTTGATTATTAATTATTTTAAATGGATTAATTTCGCTGTTGAATGTTAATATTGACAGATTTATAAACTGAATAATCAAAAGAGAAGAGAACGTAATGGATGAATGAAATAATTATTTCTCAGGGGCTCCTGAAGGCAAACTGTGGGGCAATATACCGGGTGGTCCACTGCCACCAGAGCAACCACCACCGCCACCTCCGACGACGACTACAACGACGACGACGACGACGTACAGGCCTTGGAGGACGAGACCCACCAGGCCCAATCACTATCCGGACGACGGCAGGCCTCGACAACCGGGTCGTTACCCGCAGAAACCCGACTACCGGCCGCACAAACCCCATCGGCATCACACGACATGGCCGGCGACGACGACAACGACAACGACAACGACAATGAGGCCCACACCGAGGTTCAGACATCGGTGGACCCCGCCACAGCGGGACGACGTGCCCGACAAATGCGACACGAGCTACGACGCCATCAGCATCATCCGCAGGGAGGTCTTCGTCTTCAAAGGACGAGTAAGCAGCGATCAAATTTAAGAAGAGCATTTTTTTTACGTGTGGAAATTTTCTACTAATTTAAGAAGAGTAAAAAGAAGGAATATTATATAATGAGGAATTACGAAAAGAATTCTTGCTGTATCTCAGAACGATATGATAATGAACCTTTCAGATGTCATTATCTCGCTTTATTGCAAGGAACTAAGAAGAGTCTCTCTATATCTACATTATTTTCTAAGGACAAGAGAATGAGTGCCCAGTATTTTACATTATTATCTGTTTGATTTTCGAGCATAAAGATAGAATATAATTTATGATATATTTTTAATTGCTATATTTATTTACATCGTCAATATTTTATTAAAATTAAAATATTGTATTAAAATAATTATTATGTACCTATACATTACATTCATATATCCTATATTTTATAACTTAAATTATGTGCGTATTTTCTACGGCACAGTTTTCGAGGAACATAATGAATTAACATCTCCGCATTGAGATTCTAATCCTCCTTTGGTACCGCGTTGCAGTATCTATGGCGAATAGGCGACCAGGGGATCTATGAGGGATATCCGGCGGAGATCAGCAGGTTGTTCAATCTGCCATCGAGCATCAATCACGTGGACGCCGTTTACGAGCGACCGGATAAGAAGATAGTCTTTTTCATTGGTCGCGAGTATTACGTCTTCGACGCCAACAATCTGGAGCCGGGTTATCCAAAACCGCTCACATATCTGGGATTACCGGCTGCCCTGCAGAAGATCGACGGCGCCATGGTGTGGGGCCATAACGGCAAGACTTACTTCTTCAGCGGTTCCATGTATTGGAGGTGATTTTGTAGTGTAATTTCACAAATCAGATTTTATACTTTCTCATTTTTTATTGCCTAGAATTCAACATAATGTCAAACTTTCAACTTTTGTATACAGCAATCTTCGACTGATATTAAAATGAAAGATAATGTTAATTTAGATCGAAGCTCATTCGATCGGACGTATAATGAAATTTGTAATCCGATTCATATTGGGCTTCTACTATCTTTTTAATCCATAAATAAAATTTAATTCTCCAATTTAATCCTCTGCCCCACGCAGGTTCGACGAAACTGTTAATTACGTGGAACTCGATTATCCCAGGGACATGAGCATGTTCGCCGGCGTTGGGAATGACATCGATGCTGTTTTCCAATGGAAAAATGGTAAATTTCGGAAATTGACAATCTCGGACAAAATTATTTCATTATAAAAATAATTACTCAAATACTATTAATCTCAGACAATTCTGTTACAGATAAATAAAAATTTAACTTTTAACGCCAAATATAATACATTATTAACGAAGATAATGTATATTTTTTGTAAAAGATAATTCTATAGGCAACCATATATTTTGTTTCTTAATATTTCATTCGACTTTGATTTCAATTCTTGATTTTTCTAACGTTTTATAAATAAATCTCTTCTGTGTAATTTTGTTATCGACTTTCTACTATAACTTTTTCGCTTTTTCGATAGGCAAGACGTACTTCTTCAAAGGCAAGGGCTTCTGGGAGTTTGACGATCTCAGGATGAGGGTGGCGCACGAGAAACAGAAATTGTCGGCGCCAGTCTGGATGGGTTGTCCACCGCCAGACGTGGAAACCAACGATATCGAAACCAACCTACCCAGGAAGTCGAGTATCCTCTCGGCTTCCGCCACCGCTGCCATCGCCACAGGAGAAATCACGCCGATATTTGCCACGATCGTTGTGAGCTTTATTATGAGGATAATATACGTGTAAAAACGAGGTAATTATTCATTGCCCCTGTATTCGTAAATTTTTAAAGAGTGGCATGATTGAAAAAGAAGACTTTAAAGATGATATTTTTTAGTATTAAATATAAATTCAGAATTTAGAAAGACGCCATGAAACAATGTATAATCGTCACAAAGTAATAGTTATAATATTACATAATTAATATGTAAAAGTAATTTAATGAAATATAAGATTTGATATATAATGTTTTGTAATAATTTAACTTTTTGATCCAAATATTTATAATTCTATTCATATAATTCTACAAAATATCACATGGCTCCATGGTTGGAGTAAAAATTAGTAGCTAAATTTTTAATGCGATTAAATCAATTATTTGAAAATAGGCGAGCAGCTGCTGTCACATATATTTTTCTGTCTTCTTTCAGATCATAACGCACGTGATTCCTTCCAGCTGACGACGTGCGTCGGAGAGCATTTTATACCTCACATGGAAATTTCGCGTGCGAAATACGAATACCAGAAAGTTAAACGGATTTTTGAAGTGCGGACATCGGTGGATCGGTGAACACAGGGGATGGAAGATTGTTCGTACATCGATTGGAGTTTCAAAGCAATGTCTGCGGCACATTCACATCCACGGAATCAACTTTCGTCGCTGAGCCTTCCCAGGTAGCAAGCACTCGTCATTTTGACGTCAATTGACGTCAAGAGACGTCAAAATGACAGACTTTTGACGTCAATTGACGTCAAAATGACGAGTGCTTGCTACCTGGGTTCCGATGAAGAGATCGCGACTGTAGCTCGCGAACAAAGCTTCAAGAATGTAATCGAATTAATTTGCGAAGAATTCAAAGAAGATATATGAAATGGTTGACGACAAATTATAAAATTTTGAAATATGATATTACGAGGAAAAGTTTTTTTCTGCATACTTTTTACTTAATTTTTATCTGGGTGATAAAATCGTATTGACAGTTAATCTTCTCTCACAAAGAGCGTGTGACTTAGATCCATATCATCAGTCCTGGATAAACCGCGCCATTGTGCTGCGCAAGAGCATATTTTTGTATACTGTCTTTTTACATGGCCGCATTTATATACGAAGTAATTAACTTAAGACGTAACGCTTTTATATCGCATGACTGACGAATGTCGTCAAGTCCTCGAAGGTGCGAAAAGAAACGAGAGGACATCTCGCAGATCTTGCGATAATAATTTACGAACTACCACTGCCGAAAATCCATCCAACTTTTTTCGATATTCTTTTTACAAGAATTTTTAAATTGAGATGGGAATCCTCATTCATACATATTCTTAAAAAGCGCCTACTAATTACGTAGCAGACAGTGCTGATTGGACTGACTTTATTCAATAATTACTGCCTTATTAAGTATTATAGAAACAAATTCAGGACTTTTTGATTCAATTTTTGATAAGGAATACCGCTATGTAATAAGTGAGCACTTTTAAAAAAACACGCTGTATATCCCTGCTGAGGACTAATACGCGCCACTAAGAAATTCCGTGATCCTTCCATGAATCGCGATGCGATTATTAGTTGGAATCGAATCTTAAAACGACAAAATAGTCGGTTCCGACAGAGCACATATTTTATATAAATACTGTATTAATTATTGATACCGTATAATATTTAGCAAAAGAGGACACGGGCAAAACGCAGTGTCGCCAGTTTTGTAAACTGTGATATTTATATACCGCGCGCGATCAAGTAGTTAGTGTAATATCAAGGAAAAGTAGCACAGAATCAATCTCACAGATTTATATACAGCGCCGGTGTATCTGAGATGCTTACATGAACTTTGCGAACGTATTTTCCGATTTGTTTCAAGCCGATTTCTTCTCAGCGTAAGACACTGATAGTTTTTAAGCGAGTGGAGGTAATCGAGAGCGGAAATAAATAACAAAATCTCATTTCGCATTTAATTTTCAGTAGACTTCAGGTCAGAATTTTATAAATTAAAGTGTCAGTAACCGAGAATCTAAAATAATAAAATTGTAAGGGGAAAGATGAAGGTTAATTAAATTTTTGCAAAGGAGAAATTGACTGTAGTTTTAATATCGGGATCTATACGTCTCTGCAAAGTTCGTAGTATTTATATTTCCAACGTACACTCCTGTATATATATAAATATATAAACATGTTTTATAATTATATAAAAGTATACTATAAGCCGCGCGCGTATTGCAGAATGTACTATGTCCGTGAAGCGCGCAGCATTGAAACGAAGACAAACGGTATAAATGATATTATATTTGTTTTTCGATTAACTGTCTTCTGGTTGAGTACCATTGTTATGGAGAAGCAAATGCATCGGAGTGATGCGTCCTGCAGTTCTACTAGGAGGCGAGAATTCCTCCAACCCTCTGTTTATTCCAAACTTAAGGGAAAATTAATGTAATGTGCCGATTATATGCTCTATACGTATTTTATATATTGTCAGTTCGTGCTTTATTTGTGTATATACGAAAATAAAGTGATTTTACCATACACAATGACACACCGCAGAAAATTTCTGATTTTTAGCCTTACGTACGCATCACTGAAAAAAATGTTAATTGTAAGGTGAGGAAAGCAGAAAGAACGCCTTATATATTTGTAATTCATATATATATATATTTATATATTGTTCATATATTTAACAAAAGCATTGTACATTCCAGCGGATCAACTTTAGGATATGTCAACAGAATTTTCCCTTTTCTTTAGAGCATTTTTATACATCGCATTTCAACTGGACAGATAAAATTACGATTATCTCGTTTGTTCCTCACGGTACGATTGATTTATTCCAGGTTGAGCAAAGGATATGACGACCATGATGCGTTCAAACTCAGATTTCGCTGTTCGCGTATAACTTACGTAGGTTCCTACCTAACAATGACCTAACGATGACGTAGTTCGTCCTATAAGAGCAACGAAAGAATGAAATTCTCGGTGAACAACGTAACTCGAGAAAAATTTATGAATGCGTTTTCGCTAATAAACGTAAATTCTTGATTACACGAGCCGTATACGGGTTCGAAAGATTCGGGTCTTAGGCTCCTCTCAATTTTTTATTAGAGATAAGCGACATCTTGGCGTGTATCTTTATTAATCATTATAAGCGTATGTTCGAATCGCACCATAGCGCGTCTTTGGAGATCCTGATATCGGCGCTCACGACGTGACAGAGCTTCATCGATACTCGCGTCGTCGACGAGGCTCGCACGAGGAGGCCGATCTCAGCCGCTGCTAGGGACACAGATCCGACTGATCCATCCAGGGATTCAAGGCTCGCAGAACGGATCGCACGATCGTGTCCACTTCGGCCATCGCGCCTATTCCCGCATCGCCGCACATCAGCATCTTGGTTATGCAATGCACCTCCTTGTAGCCCCAGGATTTGAGCAGCGATACCTGAGAAAGCACAAAACTCCATGAATCTCTTCGTTAAGAAAAAAGAAAAATAGAAAAATTATATAAGACAGAAAAAATTTAATGTCTACGTTTATCTTTGACTATTATACTCTTCTTTATCTCTTTTTATTAGAATTTGTCCAACATTGTTATTGGTTTAATTAAATTTTTCATTTTTAATGATGCAATTTCAACATACAAATATCTGCACGAATTGAATTTAATTCAATTTAAGTAAATAGTATACAGGGTGTTTCTTAAATACAAAAAATTAAAGGGGACATTCCTCCCTGTATGTGATTATTTTTTCTGCAAATGTATATAAAAAGGATCATATACTTCATCTATTTATTTGTTTTAACGAGAAAATCTTAACATTCTCTTATTTTAATTTCTGCGCTATTCTTTTCATCTCACTTGAGGCATTGTAATTGGATGCTCCCACATCTTGGTGTTCATAGCTGGGCAGAAGAGGAACGGCTTGGCAGGGTCCCATGCGCGTGCCACGCAGGTAACGATATTGTCGCATATGCCACTGGCAATCTTGCCCAGAGTGTTGGCATCCAACGGCGCTATCACGAACACGTCCGCCCATTTCACTAGATCTATGTGCAGCACCGGATCGCCGCGGTCCTGCCAGGCGGCCCACTCCACTGTGTCGGACAAGACCTGGATCTCAGGCGGCAGCTGGGCGTCCTTCAGGAAGTGCTTGGCTCTCTCCGTCACGACCACCCTCACCTCCAGATTGTTCTGTCGCAGCATCTCCACCAGCTGCGGCAGCTTGATCGTGGCGACGCTACCGGTACAGCCTATCAGTACTCTCTTCCTGGAGGAGCTCGCCATTTTCTTCACCTTTGCGTTGCCTCCCGTTCTACGTCAGTCTGGACTCTGCAGTAAAATCTGATAGACTCTCAGTTTTCAACGTGATAAATATCGAAACTCTCTATTTTATTTATGGGATAATTGCTCTCTTAGGCCACTTGGGTTGCAACACAATCCAGCCGCGTAACAAGCTACAAGGATATCTTTATGTTAAAGCTCAAGAAGCCCAACCCAACGAGTGGTCAAGCGATATAACTTAATTCTCAATCTTCCTTCTTATGAAAATAAAAGGTAGATATACGCGATTTTTAGTATCGTTCAGTTCTCTTTCTCCCTTTAAATTGGTCTCTTATTAAACCTATTGTTCTTATTGTTACTTCTTTCTCAACAACACTGGCATAGAGGAAGTTCTTGTTGCACCTGGCTGGCAGTGCGTATTCTCGCTTGAACACACTAATTCACCAAACTATATATAGTCTGGTGTCCTTTTTACATCGAAAGTTTTAAGAGCACCGATTAGACTAGAGAGAGAGTGCACGACATTCTCCGAGGAAAATCGGGATGAACAACAACGACAACGACGATAACGACGACGACGACCAAGATAATCCCCCTCCTTTCTTTCGAGATACACGGGATATCTGATCTCTGATCTCTCAAGGACGATTATCGACGTTACGTTTCCTTGGCGCCCTCGATCTTGTCGGCGAAGCCGAGCTTGGACCAATCCTCGTGCGCCATCAGGTCGTGGTCCATGCGGCAGCCAAGGTACTCCTTGGCGATGTCGCGGCACATCGTGTTCTGATTGCGATTCTCGGCCAGGCAGCGCATGTACCTGATCATGGTGCTCTTGCAACGGCCCTCATGGTCCAGCGGGAAGCTGCCGCGCTCCGGTGGCGTCGGCGTAAACAGCCTCTGCGAGAACGTATACGCGGACATAATACGCCAACTCCGTTCACTTCGACGCGCGGGAGATTACGCGAGGGTGAGAACGAGAACGAGAACGAGCGACGGATACCTTCAGCCTCCTCGAAGGTTCGCCATCTTGGCTGACCGTGATCCACAACCACAACCACAATCCACACCGATCCGTGGTTCTCCTCTCCGTTCCCCCCTCTTCCTAATCCCTAGCCAAAGAGCACATGCCAAATCGCTACGAGCAAACGCCCCAGGAAAACGAAATGGTCCTCAACGCCGTCTGTCCCCTGGTCCCCAGAAGTGACGAACTAACGCGGCTCACGTGACGAGCAATGCGGGAGTGGCGCTAATTTTGAACCTACGTTGTATTCCCATTTCTATGGCTCAACTTAGACAGCACTATGTCTAAAATCGGGACATAAGACACGTCTTAAAGACGTCATTAAGATGTTTTTAAGACATTATTATTACATAAAACGTTTCAAAGATGTCTTTAAGACGTACTTTTACGTCTCGATTTTGGACATGCGTGCTGTTTGGGAATTTACACCGAACGTTTGATACGCTATAGTACTATATTCGTACTAATTGTAAATTGATTTAGTTTACTCTCTTTTAAAACGCGAACCATTCTACAAAAATGTATATTATATATCTCATCCAAACATTTATCGATGTACTGCATTCAACGAGCCATGTATATGTTATTGATCCCTTTGCAGTGCGTCAAAGTCAAGATAATCACCTGTTGTTTTCGTTCTCTTATCTGATCAAATAAGTTATCAAATAAGAAAAGCATTAGACGCAATTGAGGGGTAATTATTCGTTTTGCCTACAAAAGTGTTTAGAGTACTTCAGCATCATCGCCCTTTCTTGCGGATTTCGATTTTCTTATGTCAGAACAACAGAATTCGACATTACCTCTGTACGGGGACCTGCAAACGTTGCTTTAACAAGCAAAAGGACAAGAAGGTAAAGTTGATAACTAATTATTTGATTTAATTTTTGCAATTTTTTCTACATATTTATTATATTTCTCTTTCTAACGATAACATTAAATTTGAGAAATGAACTCAATATATAATATAAAATCGCTTGAATAAATGACTACAATAGATACAAATATAGAATTATGCATTAATGAAATGTAATAAGTATTTAAAATCTGAGAGTGATAATTTGTCTTAACAGATTTGTAGTATGCATAACTGTAATTTTTCAAATACTAACTAATTTTTCTCTATTTAATCATTCTATATATAAATGCAAAATAACTAATGTTTTGTTTCATTATTTTATACATAAATTCAAAACGGCTAATGTTTTTTTGTTTAATCATTCTACTATATATAAGTGTAGAACGCGACTAACATAAGATTAATGGATATAACAATGTTGCGGATTCCGAAAGAATTTTATCAACGATCAAAGGTGCCGACTCACTTAAACCAACGAAAGACGAAATAGACGCTAAGGACGAGTAAATTATTCACCTAGCATCAGTGTTGGGTAAAATTTATTCTGAATAACGAATAAAAAATGACGAATAAACTAAATGTATTCGTTATTCGTGAATAACGAATAATTCGATTATTCGTTATTCGAATAAAATAATCACGAATAATTTATTTGTAATTCATCATTTTTATTCGAAGAATGTAACGAATAAAAAAAATAGATAACAAAAAATAATGCACAGAGTAAAAATTAAAGTCCTCACTCGTGAATGTAAAGTTGTAATATAATTTATTAATTAGTTAATTTATTAGTTAATATATTAATTAGCATTTTTAACATTAAATAAATTAAAACAAAGAAATTAATGGTATATTGTGCACCAAGGGGCGAAAGTAGCGTTTTTCAGACGAGTGTGATTTGCCGCCCGAGCCGAAGGCGAGGGCGGCAAACTTCACACTCGTCTGAAAAAGCTTTCGCTCCGAGGTGCACACGATATTTTTCACAATATCTTTACGGAAAGTTCGACCTCCATGCCTAGAGAGAGGCGAGAGTGGTCATTTCACACCAGGACGGCATAGCGGGACGAAAGTAACCACTTTCCTCCCTAGGGCGGAAAGTGATCACTTTCGTCCCGCTAAACAGGGACGAAAGTGGCCACTTTCGTAATTTACAATCAATAAAATAAAAATTTAATTTAATAAAAACCTATGTCATTAGTTTTAATTAATAAAATAAAAAACAACATAAAAACTAATTTTACTTTTAAATATAGAAAAAGAGAAATTTAATGAAATAAGTACATAATCAACTTTAGTTTCCCAAAAGTGTAAATTTCAGAATGTTTTTCTTTTAGTTGGTTTAAAAAAAATCACTTAAAAGTAATTATTATCTAAGTTTATTTTTTATTTGATACATTTTTATTTAAAAATTCTTTCAGAAGCACACGTTTTTCAAACATACTGCCTGATAATCGATGATATTTGGCTGTATTAATCATCGTAGCAAATGAAAATAATCTAGCGCGCTCCACCGGAGCCGAAAAAGGAATGAATGTATTGTATTTTATAAAAACTTTCTTTATTGTAGGATATTTTTCTAGATAAGATATCTGAGAGTCTGGATCTCCTAGATAATGAAAAATCTAGAAACAAAAACAAAAATATTTGCTTTATGATCTTTATTTTCGTTTTTGTTTCTAGATTTTTCGTTATTTAGAAGATCCAGACTCTCAGATATCTTATCTAGAAAAATATCCTACAATAAATAAAGTTTTTATAAAATACAGTACATTGATTCCTTCTTCGGCTCCAGTAGTCCCAGGTAGCAAGCACTCGTCATTTTGACGTCAATTGACGTCAAGAGACGTCAAAATGACAGACTTTTGACGTCAATTGACGTCAAAATGACGAGTGCTTGCTACCTGGGGTGGAGAGATTATTTTCATTTGCTACGATGATTAATACAGCCAAATATCATCGATTATCAGACAGTATATGTTTGAAAAACGTGTTCTTCTGAAAGCATTTTTAAATAAAAATGTATCAAATAAAAAATAAACTTTAATAATAATTACTTTTAAGTGATTTTTTTAAACCAACTAAAAGAAAAACATTCTGAAATCTACACTTTGGGAAACTAAAGTTGATTATGTACTTTTTTCATTAAATTTTTCTTTTTTTATTTATAAATAAGATTAGTTTTTATGTTGTTTTTTATTTTATTGGTTGTAAATTTATTTAATTTCTTTAGTTTTAATTATTTATTTGACATTAAAAATACTAATTAATAAATTATAACTTTACGTTCATGAAATATTATCATTTGTTAACAAAATTCTTTATATATTTTGTTTTATTTTCGAATAAAAAATAACAAATAAAAATAACGAATAAACATATTATTATGTCCTGTTGACTCCACGATTTCTTTCTTTCGTGGAATCATTCATTTCATCACACGAAACACACGGAAACCATAAAATAGCGGTTATTAATTGACGAAGCGGATGCACTCCAACTGTCATCGCTCATTAAATAGTAAATGACGAAACCTTCCAGAAGACTCGAGACTAATAAAATAGGCAAATTATAGACTTGTTTGTCGCATTCCATCTAATTCCACGAAATAAAGCACAAAATTTCAATTATCTCGAAATTTCGTAGCAAAGGGCGCAATAAATTAAAAACGCCATAAGGATCTGGGTGACCTCTCGGGTCATGGGAGTGCTGATCTCACGTGTCTGTGAAGTTGGCATATCATTTTCTAGCAGATCAAAAATAAAAGGCAGTTCTTGTCGCATGCAGTCGAGTTCTATAGTTCCTGATACTTTTTAGTAATAGTTCTGGTGATT